ACCATGCTGGGGCATGTTTTCCCGCTCCCCTCGATGGTTCAGCTGGGACCCGTGTCACCTGCCCTCACTGCCGCACGGTGGACGTCATCATCACGCCGGGCCTGATGCCCGTTGCTGATGATGCTGTGAGCGTCTTGGTGCGGATCGGGCTATTCATGTACCGGCGATCGGTGTAGAGAAGGCGCCAGGTCGAACCACAGAGCAGCCGCTACCTCCCAAGCCGCGCTCGGTGGCTGTAGCGGTGAGCGGATGGAGCAATCCATCAGGCACGGTCCCGCTCCCCCAGTGGGGAGAGAGGGCGCGTGTCGGAGTCGTGATGCGGAGCTTTTTGCCTATTGAACGGCGATGGCTTCTACCAGCGCCCGGAGGTTCTAGTAGACCGCCCGCTCCTGGGGGTCGACAGGCTCTGGAACGCCACGCAGAAGCATTGTCACATCGGCGATGTTCTGACTAGCCTCAGCGAACTGTGGGGGGTCATTCCCCTCATTCATGATGTTGTGTTGGACCTGGCAAGTGCGACCCCGGGTGCCGCCCGCCGGGTCATGCGCAATGTGCTGCATCGAGCACGCCGGTGCAGGCGGCGACTGGTTCTGCCGCCGTTGTCGTAGCTCCTCGGCGTGCCCTTGTGTGAGTGCGAGGGACCCCGCACGCGGGTCTAGAGGGGTGTGAGTCTGCATAGACTCCGTAACCACCGGTGGCTATCCCGGAGCATCCGCCATAGCGCACTCCCGGGATGGACGGTGGCAAGGTGCCACGTCACCGATGCTGGAGCCGTCGCTCTCACCCATGTCCCCGGTCGATTGGTCCCAGTCAGCTCTGATTGCGCCAGTTAGAGAGGAGTTGTAAGTAGGGGTTCGGCGCATCCCCGGTCGGAGAAGCGAGTCAGAGTCGAAAGTGGTGTTTGGCCAGGCCTTCCGGTTGGAGAGGCCGTCTGGAGGCGGGCTAGAGACCGAAGCGAGCGCTACGATCGGAGAGGTGGGCCAGAGTCGGAAGCGAGCGTTGTTCCTCATCGGTCAGGCCTTCTGGTTGGAGATTGGATCGTCCTTCTGGCCTGTCGTCTAGGTATTTGGGTCAGCCCAAGAGTTGCACGTTGCTCGCAACGTCGTCGGTTAGGCCGAGCCTTTGTTGGGAAGCTGGTCCATGAGGGACCCTGGGTTTATGAACCCGACAGAGCTCAAATTTTCTGAGCTTGCTATTTTCCCCTCCCATGAAAAGAGAAAAATAAATAAAAAATAAAAAATAGGGGGTTTGCCATGTGTCAAACAAAAAACACTCACCAAATAGGGGGTTTACCGAGTGTCACAAAAAACACTCGTTAAAAAGAGAGGTTTGCCGAGTGTCCCTAAAATCACCCACCCGCCCCTCCCCTCCCTCACGACGCACACACCCCCTCCCCTCCCTCCTAGCTCGCTCCCTCCCATCCTCTCCCGCGTGTGGCCAGCGCCTCCCCTCCTCCAACCGATGGCCGGCCCCCTCCCCTCCTCCCGCCGGTGGTCGGCCCCCCCCTCCCTCACCGGTGGCGCCTCCCCTAGATCCACCGCCCGCCCCTCCCTCCCTCCCCACGCGGTGCCCCTCCCCGGATCCGCCGCCCGCCCCTCCCTCCCCTCCCGCTGGCGCCCCTCCCCTGGATCCGCCCCTCCCTCACCGCCATGGCGCCCCTCCCCAGATCTGCCGCCCCCTCCTCCCTCCCTCTGCGGTGCCCCTCCCTCGGATCCGCCGCCCCCCCTCCCCTCCCTCACCGGCGGCGCCTCCCGGATCCGCCGCCCGCCCTCCCTCCCTCACTGTAGCGCGCTCCCCGGATCCGCTGCCCCGCCCCTCCCCTCCCTCACCGGCAGTGCCCCTCCCCTGGATCCGCCGCCCCTTCCCTTACCGGCGGCTCGGGCGGCGCGTCTGACAGTGGCTGTGGGAGGCGGACGAGAAAGGCGGCGGTGGTGGTGGTCTTTGGCGGTGGGCTTGGTGGTGGCGGCGGACGGTGGTGGCGTGGTGGTGGTGCTGGCAGTGGCGGGCTTCGTGGCGTGGTGGCGGGAGGCAAGGGTGGTGGCCTAGTGGCGGCGGTGGGGCGGTGGGGGCCGCGATGCTGCCCTCGATGATGCTGCAGGGGGCGACGCTGTGCTGCCACTCTCCCCGAGGTCACCGCGTGCGCCTCTCGTGGAGGCCCAGCGGGCTCGGCGCCGGCCAGCACAACCGCTCCACGTCGCTGCTCCACCCGGCTGCTGTTTCGTGCTCCAGCGAGGTGTGGTGCCCTCTCTTGCTCGATCTCTCCTGTCTGATTGCGGAGTGTGGCGATGGTGACTAGGGAACCGCTGCCCCATTCCTAGGACGTCCATGGTGAGCTCTCCCTCACAATTCTCATGTCTCTTATTGTGCTGCTTTGGATGTGCGCGTCTTAATGGATTGCTGCAAAGATAAAAATACCTATATGGTGTGCGAGAACTGGGCATGTAAAAATATTCCTTTAGTTCTTTTGGATGTTGAGGCCTCAAGTTAAGAAATCACTGACCTGGATTTGGATTGAACTATCTATGTTATATTCCGATCCATTATTGATTTGCTTTTACATTAACTCTGTTAAGTTTTTTACATTAACTATGTTCGTTAAGCAGACTATGGGAGTGCCCAGGCAAACAACTAAGCACACATCAGCTTACATTTTGCAGAAGATGTAATGCGCAAACAGGAAATTCTGTTTAATCTGCTGCTTTTAGTTTTGGCATTATGGATTCCATGCACATTAACTCCCTAATCTATTTTTTTGGTTCTCAACTAAATAAAGTTTGCTGTGCGAACTCATCGGTAAAACCTCTAAATCTGACTACTAATGTAAGAAAAATATACTGTAATGTAAGAATATACATGGATGGACCACTCAAATAATGTCATTATATTTGAATTTGAGGGAGCAATGTAATAAGAAGATTTTACTCCAAAGTTAAAATACAATTTCCTTATATGTTTTGTTACCCTAGATGCTTTTAGGGTTAGATGATGTTATACATATAACTTCAAAGCTACATTTTAACCTTGCACATAATCGAAAGGAATTTAATATTTCCTAAATCTGGTATGTGAACACATCACCTGGTATTTGGTGCATTGGATGTCAGGTGAGATGCTATGAAGATAGTATCTTGAATATCTTGTATATATCAACCTGATCAATCATTTTGTTGCGGAGCTGAGATGATATGGAACCCAGTCTCGTGCCGCGCTGCTCTCCCCTTCCCTAACTATGCCTTGTGACTTTTTTTGTTTTGTACTACTCTTGAGTGGCTATGATGAATCAAGTTTCCATTAGAGAACTTCTGCACTTTAGCACCTTATGAGCTGGTACTTGGGATAATTTGTTCTGTTTGTTTCTTAACTAGGATGGCTTGTACCAGTACAAGCAACCAGTTCTGTGGCCAGTTCAATTTCCATTAGAGAGAGAATTAAATTAAGCTTCAAGTGAAATTAAGTTACAGTTGTCATGCTGATAATGGGTAAATCTGAGCCATTTCTCGAGTTCTTTTGCTCTTGTTCTTTTACTCCAGGTGAGGAAGGAGAAGCTAGGGGATCGAAAATATTATGTCTTAATGGTTCATAATTTTGAGCAAAGACAGATTTATTCCTCAGGAGTCAAAATGAAGCAGTTGTTCAAGTTTAGGTCAGTGATCTGCTAGCTATCCACTTGACACATCTAACAGCAAAAATCCTGCAGGGCTGTTTGTTTTCCTGCTGTAGCAATACTCGTTGCATTGAATGCATCTAGCCCAACAAAAGGCTGGAGTGGTCGTAGTTTGAGTCTGCTAGATCCGTAAGTTCTTATCAAGTTGAGATTGTTAGTTGAACTGTTGAGCTCTTGATGTTCTGTGCAAAGTAAGATGTTATATTTGGTCTCTAGGAACAAACTTTTAAGATTTAATGTAGTTAGATCTGATACTTACTATAAGAGAGTATATTTGTTGTCAAATGGACCTCTGTTGTGTTTTTCTTAGTTGCTGCTAAACCTGTTATCAACTTTTGTTATACAATCAATCCATATTTCTTCTTTTTCTATATAAGTTGACACATTGATTGTTTGTCCTTCACCTTTTCCTTTTGCTCCTGATAGAACCTATGCAAGCAAGTACATCCCTATAATTGCTAGTGTGAGCGAACACCAACCACCAACCTGGCCTTCTTATTTTATGGATATCAATGTGCTGGCCTTCTTAGTTCCTGCTTGATTGAAAATGCTATTAAACTGAAATATGCTGAGAAAAAAATCATTATTTTTTCTTTGAAAAATAGGTTTGCCAAGTGTAATTCCCAAAAACACTCGGCAAACAATAATGGTATGCTGTGAAAAAAAATATTTTTTTCTTTGAAAAATAGGTTTGCCGAGTGTAATTTCCAAAAACACTCGGCAAACAATAATCCTTTGCCGAGTGTATTTTGAAAAAACACTCGGCAAACCACTTTTTTCTGCCGAGTGTCAAATTTGACACTCGGCGAACCATTTGCCGAGTGCGCGATAAAAAACACTCGGCAAATAGCTGTTTGCCGACACTGTAGATGTCGTGTGCTTTTTGCCGAGTGTAACACTCGACAAAGCCTTTGCCGAGTGTTTTTTTTGGTCTGTGGCACTCGGCAAAATCACTGTTTTCGATAGTGGATGGATGTCTTAATTGTATCATTTTGGGATTGACGTGGCCGTTGTTTTTCTCATATGCATCGACTCACCCGCACTGAGATGCCCTTAAAAATAAACACCTTGTTAGTCATTTTTTCCTGAAAACAAATTAATCCAACAATGTAGTGTAGCTATCTTCAATTTATTCATCTAAACACACACACCAATACATACACCGTCTACGTTCCAATTGGTGGCAAAGCTCTTAGACAGTCACAATGAACCAAACCTGTATATACAATGAAACCAATGGTAAATGACGCACGCAATTCAGACTGTACACAACTGAGCAAACAAACATGTAGAGTACTACTATATATACGCAAGTGTCCGTGTACGGAGCCTCAGATCAGATGTATGTCTGCTTGGCGAGCTTGAAGCCGGAGATGATGGCGGAGAGCGCCAGGCAGACGAAGGCGAAGAAGGCCATGCTGATGGACGCCGACGACGAGTCGGTGAACACATTGTCAGCGCCCTCGCGCATGCGGTTGGTGATCGGGATCGCAGCTGACAGCGCCGACATCATCAGGTAGGCGGTCACCTGGAGAATGGACAGAAACGGCCGAGCTGTCATTGTTGTTCAGGTCAGGTAAACGGCTGAATTACACAGCTCGATAAGCATGGTTTTCGTATTCTGTATACTAGATAGTACCCCGCGCGTTGCTGCGGGACATGCCAAATTTTTGAAAATATGTGCATATTTATTGGAAAAATAGTTAGAAACAATTTATATAAATAAACATATATAGATTTAGTACCCATATCATTATGCGAATATTTGTGACCACTTGTTGTTACGTGCATAGTGATAATAAAACAATGAAGAGAAGGCATCATCGTTACCCTTTTAGCCTGAAAATTTTTGAACTCCCTGCTATGTAATACAACATATATGAGACATGTATCACGTGATTATACATGGAAAGGAAATACTTACGACTCTCTCACCTATCCTCTCTTACGCACGTCCCTTCATGCTTTAATCTTCCAATACCTGTGGCTTCATGTTGTATGCCTTCATCCTCTTTACCTCACGGCTTCAGTGCGCACGTGGCATGAGCAGCCTGTCCCGTGACGACGATAGGTACGGGAGGCTGTGGCCGCTGGGTTTGCGAGGGCGCTAACTTGTTAGGGCGGACGACCTAGGTGGCGCACGGCGACAACTCTTCTCTTTCGGTGCCGGTGACGCAACGCACACTCTATGTGCAAGGATGCGTCATGCAGCCATGGTTTGGAGCCTTTCAACGCAGAAGAAGATAGGAAGCACAAAACATATCTTCTCTCGCTTGTTCTACAGCCGGGAGCCATATATTGATGAATTGGAAGATGAGCGGACAGAAGGGATGCCATGGGGCAGAAAACAGAGAAGTCACGAACTGGATACCTCTGCAATCGGAAGCCGGAATTATATATTTCTATCAGTGGATTGGAACTTGGAAGGACAATGGACGTAAGGGATGCTAACTGGCAGGAAAGGAACTAATGGAGAAGTGGTGTTGCTTATTGCTTGACGCTGATGCATCTAACGCCACTACCAATAATATTATTAAATGCTTGCTGCATGCCCACGGTCGGTGCCTTGCTTGCACTGCCTGCCCACGAAATAACCGACGAACAATTGTTCAGCTCCTGTAGAACAAACGGAGATCCGAAGAGGTGCCTACGTAGTGACCGATGGTTGTGGGGCCTCTCAGGTTCTTCTATTTTCTATTTAGGTATAGTAGATATGCAGTGACCGTCACGTCATCAAACCTCTGATAAAAAGCATTTTCCCCAGCCCATAGCGTGGCCTGCAGGTTCAGATTACAAAAATTCTATGTGTCCTTTTTGTCTGCACTAGGAAAAGAAAACCTTGGGCATCAAGCTCGGCTGTGTTTAGTTCTCAAAAAATGCTACAGTAGCCATCACATCGAATCTTGCAATACGTGCATGGAACCTTAAATATAGACGAAAAAAAACTAATTGTACAGTTTGGTTGGAAATCGCGAGACGAACGTTTTGAGCCTAATTAGTCCATGATTGAACAATAATTACTAAATAAAAACGAAAGTGCTACAGTAGCCAAATTCTCAAATTTCACGAACTAAACACAGCCGAAGAAAAGAATGTGAATTTGGCGTGTGCAATGGCTGATGCCTTTCCTATCAGGGTACGTGTATGGAGTAATTCTGTCAAGAGCTGGATGTTCCGTGTGGACTTATGAAAGAGTGTATCTCATTAGTAAAGCTTGCTCAATACTTAAATACCGGAATAAAGTGATGTATTTACTGGAATGCGTCGAAATTCCAGTGGATAACTCCTAGTGAGAAAAAAAAATCTTTGTGCAACTGTCGCCGAAAACAATTGTGGTGCTATGCACCACAGAAATTTATTACCCAGACCTGAATGACCAATGCGTGATCTGCTGGTGATGTAGGATTTTGCAAACAAAATGTTTGACCACAGCTTGGAGCACCTCTGACATTCCGTATCGTGCAAGAAGTCATGACCCCGGATTATTATGTGGTTTTATATATGTGCATTCATGAATCATAAAAAAAGGGAGCACTCAGGTTCTGGATTGTCGACGCATGTCACTGTCCCTAAGCTCTAGGTATAATTTCCCATAAACTCATCCAATGTGGTGACTTTCGTGTTGGTGCTTCGTATAGAAAATCTCAAGTGTCAAGTTCACCCTCCTGGCCTCCTCTGATATCTATGTGAATATGTTGCTATATGGTCCTCCTTATTTAGAGCACAACCACATTATTATCGAACAAATACTAGAATAGGAATTTGGCATGTTCAGACGGCTCGTGATATTCCTATGATATGTTTCACATAGGTTGGACACAGACCTACAGTGGAAGGAAATTGAACCAGCAGTTTGCCAATTGAAATTCAAGAAATTTAGGATGCATATGCATCCAGAGTCCTTAAAAATTTTCTTCATAGATCATATCTGCCAACCAGATTTTTTTTTTTTTTTCTATAATAGAAATGGCCTCTGCTTCAGAGGTACTATAGTATGCAATTAAGTAGTGCTGGAAGTGCCATATGGACTTTGGAAACACGTTTCGACAGCTTGCGCAATTATTAGTTAATTGGGTACTGAAATACTAGCCGAAGAGCAATAGAATTCCAGCGCATAACACCTACGCAACAATAGTGGTCCAACCATTATAACCCAAAAACAGTTGTCTTCACGAGGTGGGCAATACACAAGCTGCTCGTGGATCCTCATACTCTGCTACTGATGCACGACTTGTGCAAACAAAAAAGTTTCGCCGCGGCATTCAAGTACCTCTGGCTTTGTGTATCGTGCAAGAAACCCGTGATTCTGATTAACCCCCCAACGAGGTTTTTGAATGTTTGATACAAATTAATTGCAGAATCCAAGGCTCATGGATTAGAGACGAATCGCCCAAGCAGGCAAGCAGAATTCAGAGCAGAGGTGTTGTAATGTGCAGGCAGAGGTACCTGATCCCCGGCGAAGTCGACGAGGAGGCCGGTCTTGGGCTGCAGGTCCTGGCCGCCGGTGAGGCGGACGCCATGCCGGAGGAGCTGCAGCGTCGTGTAGACGAAGGCCAGCAGACCGATGGCAACGATGTACCTGACAAGCAAACCGATGTCAATTCGTCGGACGGGAAGAATCGAGAAGCACACAAGTCCTTGCACGGGAGACCCAACGGCCAGACAGAGAAGGCAAAAGACAGAGACGGGAAGAGACGCGCTCACCTGTACTCCTCGTAGCGATCGAACTGCCTCCAGTCCCCGTGCTCGTTGCAGGCCATGACGAGGAACGCCATCAGGGAGAGCGCCCACGCCCCGGCGCGCAGCGCGGACCCCGACCGGTCCAGGAGGTCCTGGGTCCGCCACCGCCGCAGCACGGCGCCCACCGCGCCGGTTCTCCCGCCCGCAGCGTCGCCGCCCGCGCCCTCGGCCGGTGGTGCGGCCACGGGGACGGCGTTCTCGACGTCGGGCATGGCGGCTGCGCTGGTGTTGGGAGTGGTGCTCGCGGGACGGGCAAGGAAACGGAGATGGTTGGGCTCGCTCGGGTCGGTTGATTCAGGTGGCTCTTGAAGCTGGCGGGTCGCGCAAGTCACCGCTCACCAGGTTATTTTTGGACGGCCGGCAGAGGATTTTCTGCGGCGCCATCTGTACGGCTGTGTGCGCTGGCTCATACTCAGCTTCCACATGGGGCCAAAGACTTCTTAGGTCAGTCTCAATGTAGAGTTTCAAAACACAATTACCAAGAGTGCTTCACCAAATTTACAACTGAGCAAAATAGATAAATAGTCGATCTCAGTGCACAGTTTCATAGCCTAGTGATATAGTACTATGATCAAATCTAGCATATGAAATATATAGCGTTGCAGTTTCATAATTCTTTGCTTATCTCGCATAGAATATCCTTGAGAGCGTATGAGAATTAAACATATCGGTCTCTGTGGAGGTTTCATTGTGTTTCATTTTATCGGTAAACATGATGGATGAGTTTTATCGTAATAAAACTATTTCTCTTTCCTCATAAATATCATTCCAACTAAGCAAACTTGTTGATGTATCATAGCTTTAGACGAGAATAAATTATGTGAACACCCCCATTGTGACTGACCTTTACACCATGCCTTTGGGTAAATGGTGGCTTGGGTTTGATGTAACTTGTCTTCTAGACATTGAGCTTCATAATAACCTAGTAAGTGGTAGATAACATCGCTAACGTACCAAATAAGTGGTCGACTAGTCTTTATATCAGAGATATCTCTATAGCTTCCTTTGGTTTTCTCATGTTTATGGGTCCCTGCCTCTTCCTCTTCTGCTTCTGCGTGTTCATCAGCGACGAGAAGAGGGTGGGCCACCAATGTGCCATTTATAAATTACCAATACTAGTTTACCTCATGTCTATCTAGATGGGCTCTCAACGGTTCTCCATTAACCACCATTGCTCCCTTCCTACTGTCGTCACCATCGTCTTTGTTCTCCTAGGGGTGTCCATGTATCTATTTTGCCCATGAGGTACATTGAGAGATGTTATTTGATGAGGCTCTAGATGTTAGCGGGTACCTTTAGTTGTGACGTTCTAATCTAGGGACCTCAGTCCACCTTTATATAGTCCAAAGAGTAGGGTTACATGGTTGGTTTCCTTTCTTACTAGAATTTGTTTCCTAGTCCTATTACAATAAGGTTTCCCATATTTAGAAGAATATCCAGCGGTAGTTTTTTTTTCTTATAATACAAGGCAAGTTAGGGCGAGTCCTACCCTATCTCTATATGTGGGACTATGTCTTCCTTGATGATACCCAGGGTCATATCGTTGCAAGCTGTCGGTGTTTCGGAACCGGGGGTCCTTAACCGACTAGTGAATTTGTACTGCGTGCTCCCAATTCCGGATGGTGATGCAAAGAGACACAAGGTTTATACTGGTTCGGGCAATGGATGCCCTACGTCCAGTCTGAGAAGATGTTCTTGTATTCCTTGCACCGGGGTGCTCGTAGTAGGGGGTTACAAGCTAGGCGAGAGAGGGAGTTCGTCCCAAGTCTCTGTGAGGGGAGGTGATGTGAATTACAGAATGCGGTGTGTTGTTCGTGCGAGTGTTCATGACTCTATCCGCCGTCCCTAGAAGCGGTCTGGCCGCCTCCTTTTTATAGCCGCAGGAGGAAACCAGAGTACATAAGAGAGCTACACGTGGAGCGGACTATTCGATGACGTATTTACTCCGGAGCAAAGCATGACGTTGTCGTGGGAGTTCCGTAGATGTCTAATCGGTATGGTCTCCATTGCAAGTAACATCTTTGTGCATTTGTTGACTTGGTGGATTGCAGAGGCTCGGCGCCATCATAGGCCGGTCGTGTCGAGGGCTGTTGTCCGAGGCACGAGAAGTGACCAGTGCATATGCGCGGGTCTCGGGTGGCCGTCGGCGGAATAGTGTGAGACGTGCGCCTACGAGGATACTGGTACTGTATTGTCGATGAAGGGATGGTAAAAAGGTGATCGACCGTTGTCCGTCGCTCCTATTGCAGCAAGACCGCCGATCGTGGCTTCGACGAAGCGGGGTGCGGTGGAGCGATTGTCGGATGTGATGACTGCTAGAGAGACTTTTGAGGCGAGGCGACGAGGTTGTGGGACGTGCCCGGCCTTGGGCAAAGTGGCGCGGCCAACCAATGGTCGTCGAGGCCCTACCAGGGGTCTCGGAGAGGCGGACGGGCGAGGCGGAGTAAGATCGGTGAATCCGAGGCCCTATCGAGGGGCTCGGGCGAGCGAGCGGTCGGTCCGCTGATTCCAAGGCTACTGAGAACCCGTTCGACTCCCCACGTTGCGATGTCCTTGGCGCGAGGAGTTAGTTAGGCAAGACGGTGGTCGGTAACCCCTGCTTCTGGTCGTCGCAGATGATGGCGGAGGTTGACGCGATCTGGCGTGTAGTCGGTCACTTCACCGCATCTTTGTGCCATCGTGCGTTTGTCGGAGTGGTTGGGCGCTTGGATGTGACGTTCGGTCAGAGCAGTTTGGTCGAAGAGGCGGTCACGGGGCTGGTGCCGAGCCGGCCTCGCGCGAATCGGAGAATCGGCACTTCTTCCGAGGCCCCGGGCGAGGGGGCCTCGACGAGGGGCCTCGAGGCGGTCTCAAGCGAAGTCGGAGAATCGTTCGCTTCCGCTGGGGCTCGGCGATGGGGTCTCGGGCGAATCGGAGATTTCGGCCGAGACCTCGTTTGTTTATTCCGTTGGTTCTGTTCTTAGGGTCTGAGCAGTTTTTCGATCTTTGCTTGGGGTACCCCATTTTCTGGTATCCGACAATAGCCCCCGAGCCTCTGGCGGGAGTGTGGGATACTCTCCCCGAGGTTTTTTTGAGACTTTTGTTTCTCAGTGGCTCTTGTCGGGTTTGTTTTATACTCGCGATTCTGGTGGGTGCGAGCGAGCGCACCCGCCGGGTGTAGCCCCCGAGGCCTTAGAGGAGTGAGTTTACTCCTTTAGGGGCTTTTTCTTCGTTGAGTAAGGCGCTCTATCGCATTCGCTAGACCCATGAGAGCGAGCTCGGGTCGCTTGTTTTCGTTTGGGGTGCAGGAGGAGCCCCCGAGCCTGCCAAGCCCTCGCGTGCGATCCTAGGTCGCTGGGTCTCGGCAAGGTTGTAGGAAGAGCCCCCGAGCCTCCGCACGGAACGAGAGGGCGGTCAGGAGTTCTCCTGGCTTCTTGTACGACCCTCGCGCATCCTTTTCGTTCGGAAGGAGGGGTTGTTTGCCGAGCCCTTCGTGTGCGAGCCTAGGCCGCTGGGTCTCGGCAAGGTTGCAGGAAGAGCCCCCGAGCCTCCGCACGTAGCGAGAGGGCGATCAGGAGTTCCCCTGGCTTTTTGTATGACCCTCGCGCATCCTTTTCGTTCGGAAGGAGGGGTTGTTTGCCGAGCTCTTCGTGTGCGAGCCTAGGCCGCTGAGTCTCGGCAAGGTTGTAGGAAGAGCCCCCGAGCCTCCGTATGTAGCGAGAGGGCGATCAGGAGTTCCCCTGGCTTTTTGTATGACCCTCGCGCATCCTTTTTGTTTGGAAGGAGGGGTTGTTTGCCGAGCCCTTCTGTGTATGCGAGCCTAGGCACTGGTCTCGGCAAGGTTGCAGGAAGAGCCCCGAGCCTCCGTGACGTAGCGAGAGGGCGATCGGGGAGTTCCCCGGCTTTTTTATGCGACCCTCGCGCATCCTTTTCGTTCGGAAGGAGGGTGGAACATGCCGGGCTACCCTCGGTGGCGCGATGATGACATTTCCGGTGAGCTTTTATTAGGTAAGTCCGAGTGGAGGCCCGTGCCCCATTCGATAGGGGTCGGCTAGTGGTCTAGAGACGCGCTCCAAAAAAGTACCAGAAGGCTTCTCTAGCGGGTGCCAGGGCCGTTCGATTGGCCCTAGGGGCTCGGTGCCTCCTTACGGTGGGATCCCCTTTAGAGAACTCCTGCTGGTCTCGGACACGACTTAGGGCATCCCAAGCAATAGCTTGCACAGGCCTTGGCGTGCACGGGCTCGCCCATAGTTGTCCCCGACTCTGTTGTCCTGGGCGGTGTCGAGGCCTGGATGGCCCGACCTTCGTACCCTGGATCGTAATGGGCTTGGTGCCCTTTTTTCGTCGCATTTTTCCGACCCTCGGGGTGTGAGAGGTTGCGGGAAGAGCCCCCGAGCCTCCCTTGACGAAGCGAGAGGGCGATCCGGAGTTCCCCGGCTTTTTTAATACGACCCTCGCGCAACCTTTTCGCTCGGAAGGAGGGGTTGTTTCTTTGAGCCCTTGGCGTGCGAGCCTAGTTCATTGGGTCTCGGCAAGGTTGCGGGAAGAGCCCCGAGCCTCCGCTTGCGTAGCGAGAGAGGCGATTAGGAGTTCCCCGGCTTTTTGCGACCCTCGCGCATCCTTTTCGCTCGGAAGGAGGGGGGTTGTTTGCCGAGCCCTTCGCGTGCGAGCCTAGTTCATTGGGTCTCGGCAAGGTTGCGGGAAGAGCCCCGAGCCTCCCTTGACGTAGCGAGAGGCGATCGGGAGTTCCCCGGCTTTTTGTACGGCCCTCGCGCATCCTTTTTGCTCGGAAGGAGGGGTTGTTTGCCGAGCCCTTCGCGTGCGAACCTAGTTCGCTGGGTCTCGGCAAGGTTGCAGGAAGAGCCCCCGAGCCTCCGCACGTAGCGAGAGGGCGATCAGGAGTTCCCCTGGCTTTTTGTACGACCCTCGCGCATTCTTTTTGCTCGGAAGGAGGGGTTGTTTGCCGAGCCCTTCGCGTGCGAGCCTAGGTCGCTAGGTCTCGACAAGGTTATAGGAAGAGCCCCCGAGCCTCCGCGTGGAGCGAGAGGGCGATCAGGAGTTCCCCTGCCTTTTTGTACGACCCTTGCGCATCCTTTTCGCTCGAAAGGAGGGGTGGAACAAGCCAGACTACCCTCGGTGGGCGCGAGCGGTGACATTTCCGGTGAGCTTTTATCGGGTAAGTCCGAGTGGAGGCCCGTGCCCCATTCGATAGGGGTCGGCTAGTGGTCCAGAG